AACACATGCCACCCTTTCTGTCTCACAGCATCTTGGGGTTTCCTTGACGTTAGAGATCATGGTTTGTATTCACCCCATCACTTATGTGGGTGGCAACTTGATTCAAGTGTGTTCGTTCCTTCCATCCTGTAGGCAACATGCAGGCAGGGATCCTGTCTTTCCTATTTCCTGCAGCACCCGCTAAGCCTAGGACATTGTTGGGGTACATGGCTATTCTGTGAAGATTTGCTGAGTGAATGCTTGTCTGCTGGAGCTGGCTGGCAGTGGAGACTGGAGGGACCCACAGCTAGATGATGCAGAGGGTGTCAGTAGACTGGGATAGGTGCATGCAGGGGTGAGGTGGGAGGTGTCTGGAGCAGGTCTTGAAGGGCAGGCTGTAAAGCCTGTGACAGAGGGCAGGGGTCAGCAGATGGGTCAGAGGAAACCAGGGAGATGTTAAAGCCAAGATGTACCAGGTTGGCCATGCATGCTTACAGGTGCCAGCACTGCAGAGCTCCGAATGTACCCTAGCTCCTTTGTTCCTTTAATAAACTCTGAGGGGGGTGTTGTCCATCCCATGTTAGCGCTAAGGAAAGTAGGCACCGAAGGTTAAGCCCCGGCCCCTCCGGCCCATAAGTGTGAAGTGGGCTTGGTGCCAGAGCCCTGCACCTTCCCAGACTCTGCTCTAACTGTGCTGTTGGGGTGGGAGGCAGGAAAGACATCAGTCTAGTAGGTCTCTAAGGTGGTGGCCGAGGCTGGAGGAGAGCTGGGTGGAGGCTGGGCCAGGGAGGCTGACTTCCTGGAAGTCAACATGGAGCCAGGGCCCAGAAGCTGGTGACCCAGCATGCCCTAAGCTGCAAGGAACAACCCTGAGCATAGAAGTGGAGCTTGGAGGCCGAGCACCAGCCAGGAGTGCCTTGCCACTTTCTCAAGTGGCTTTCTTGTCCACAAAGCACATACCTGCCCCTTGCAGGCTTGGTTCTCTGCTTTACTGGTCCTGCTGAGCAGGAGGTGTCTTCTTGGCAGGAAATAGCCAAGTGATCTACAAACAAGCAAATGCCAGGTGAACTACCAGCCTGGCTTCCTGGCTCTATGTCCTGTAATCTTTCTGTAGAATCCCCAGGGGCCAAGGGCCACCCTGAAACCTGCAAACCCTGGTTGACCCCTGCCCCGCCATCTCCATCCCTGCCCCTGGTGCAGGAAGTGGTTCTGGAGGGCAGATACTGAGGCTAAAGCCGGCACCAGCAATGCAGCTGATGAATCATCAGACGAAGAGAGAGAGCTGCAGGTTGTTGTAGCAGCCAGCAGGGCCAGCACCGCACAGTTGCTGCCTGTGTGACACTGGGCAAGTCATTTCCAGCACCCACCGGCACCTCTGAATCGGGGTGCAGGATCCCAGCTGGTAGGAACGCAAACTCTGGGCATCGGTCGTTCCAGCCTGCCCTAGCCAGTGCTGAGCTCTGGATTGGATTTGGGAGAGGATTTGATTAGATCCTAAACAGCAGCTCCACTTAGAGGGCCTGGTTCATTTCCTGTGTGCTTCCAGCAGGCGAGACCTGCACAACATTAACCCCGCTCCCGCCAAGCCAAACAAGTGAAGGGCGAGGGAGGGTGGGTGGTAGCAGTGGCGGCATTCTTGGGGTAGCAGGCTGGCCTCTCCCCGAAATGTTCTGGCTAAATGCTTGCGACCCCAGCCTATGGCAGCTGCAGCTCAGCTGGGTGCCCTCACTGTCAGCACCACTTCCACCAGAGCCCACCTGCAGACCAGTCATCTAATCTTTGTTCTTAACCTAGGGTATAGATTGTGCGTGACACCAGTGCCTGCCTTGGGGCCTGCGAATGACCGAATCTGCATGAGCATGTGCACGCGTATATACATACACACACCCCAATGACCCTCACCCCACTGCCCCATGTGTCCAGCTCTTGGCAGACTTGCCATAGCACAACTCCTATTCTGTTCCTGTTGCCCAGTCCATACTTGCCATGATTCTGGAACCTCACCCTCATCTCTCCCCTGCACTTGGTACCCCTGGCTCTGCTGTTCCTCTTCTAGCACTGGCTTCCCAACATCTGCCAGGGTAGCTGCTGCTCACACTGCCATACCTGGGATCCCATGCTCTAATTCTCATGATGAGGGCTGTGCGGTGCTGGTGGCCTGCTCCAGTTCCCCTATGCTTGAGGGTCAAAGGTCCCTGGGGATGGGAGAGGAGAATGCATCTGACTCCTGCAGTAGCCTCTGCTTTCTTAGGTAATCTACCTCCTCCCACTCCCCACCACCTGCCTGGGGCCTCAGTGTCCCCACTCCTAATAAGACTCCCAACAACCATTGTGGTACCACATCCTGGGAGTCTGGTGTGCTCTCCCTGGGCTGTGCTCCGGATGAGGAAGCCAGGAGACCCCATTGGAGTTGCAGAGCCAGAAAGTGGTCCTATTTGGGGCCAAACTCCACTTGTGCAGCCCGATGCAGCTGGGCACCCAGACAGCCCTGCAGGTCTGGTGGTTTCTGGGTCTGCGTGTGGGAGCGGGGTGGGGGGAGGTGGGGGAGGTACCTGCTGAGCAGCACTTCCTCTCCTGGCTGTTTGGTTTGGCTGCCTTTGGGGCAGGGTTGGCCCAGGCAGGCTGACTTGCATTTCTGGTTTTGGGGCTGCACTGCACTTTCCCCGGGGGGCTAAGAGGGCTGCTGGGAGGGGCCTGGGCCCCACCCTCACTGCCCAGGAAAGGGGAAATGTGGCCTGCTCCCCTTGCAGTGTGTTCCCCAAGTCAGTTTGTTTCAGGCCTCCTGGGTGCCCAGCTGCGGCTGACTTCCTTCTGTCCTTCTGCAGGCAGGTGGGGATCTGCCCTGTTGGGGAGCTGGCTGCAGGGCTGGTTGAGTTTACTGGGGAGGGGAGAATGCTCTCCATTCGCAGGGTTGGGGTTGGAGGCAGAGGGTGTGGTGGGCAAGCGGCAGGACTTACCTGACCTCAGGGCCTGAGATCCGATCAGCCCGATCAGCCCGTGGACTCACTGCACTGGGCAGTTTTGGGCAGATCCCTGGGTCGCCAGCCAAGTGGGCTGTCCATCTTCCTACCTGTTCAGTGGGGGTGAGGGGGTGGTCTCTCCCCACCTGAGAGCATCCCAAGGGTACTGGAGCCCAGGCCTGCAGTTCCAGCTGAGGACTCTGCATTAGGCATGACAGTCTGTGAGCCTGGGAGTTTAGCACAGTGTTGCTTCCGGTGGGGGTGAGGGGTATGGGGAAGATGTGCCACGATTTGAGGTCTTTCACCACTTCAGAGCATCTCTCTAGCATCCATTTTTAACATGGCTGTGGCTGTCACCTCCACCACTGTCACTTCTAAGAGCTTTGTATTGTCCCATTTTGGAGGTGGAGACTTTGAGGCCAGGAGGGTTAATGACTGGCTCCACCCAGCCCCGCTGGTCCCTGGGCCGCTCAGGACCCTGGCCTCCCCATCTATGCTGCTCATGTTTCAGGTCTGTGATTACGGGGGTCTGAGGCTTTCCTTGGTGATCCCCTCCCAGTTACAGGGGGAGGCCCAGAGCTGGAGAGCCACAGGGTCAGTGGGCACTTGTCTCGAGCCTGGGAACCAGAGCCCAGCATGTGTCCTTGCTGACCTCGGCCAGGTCGTTCAGGAGCCCAGCTGTCTGAGGTCTGGGGCTTCCAGCACTTCCTCCTTGGCCCAGCTCCACTTTCACTTTCACACTCCTGGGCCTTGGCTCCTACCCACGCTGTTTCACATCTGCCCTGGGGTTCCCAGGTGCCAGGGTGGCCCCCGACATGTGCATAGCACCCTCCATCTGCCCTGAACCACTCGGCTGGGTCACCTACTCCCAGCTGTGAGGCCTGGCTGCGGCTTCAGGCTCCTCAACGACCTCAGCTTCCGGCATGGCCTTTTGACCTCAGGGTGGCTAAGTCACTGCTGGGGTAGGAGGGGGCTCAGTTTTCCCATCCATCAAGTGGATGTGCCTAGTCTCCACAAGCAGGAGCTCTTGACCTGTATTCTGCATGTACTTCAAGTGCGTGTGTGTGTGTTTATCTCTGCACACACAGGTCACACCCCCATGCATCACTTCTCAGAAGTGTGTGTAGCTCTTCCCCACCATTAGTTCCAAGTGGCTGCATCTTCCTGAAGGATGGAAAGTCCTTTAGGGCTCCGAGTAGTGTTGGCTCCACTGTCCCAGGGCCTTCCACTGTGATGGGGTTGGGGGCGACCCTGGGTTTCTTCCATAAGTAAAACCTGCCACTGGGAGCCTGCAACCCCCTCCCATACCACCACTACCTTCCCCACCGGGCCACCAGGACTGTGGGGAAGCAGGAAATGCTTTGCTTTTTTTGTAGAATTCTTGAAGTTTTCCCCCAAACAGTTTAGAAATGCGTGGGTGGATGATCCTACAGGGGGAGGTTCCATGTGTCTGTGACGTCTAGGTTAGTCCAGGTGTGGGCAGGATTTTAAAGTTCTGGTTTCATTCCAGTTTCCAGTCTCAGAAAAAAAAAAAAAAAAGACAGTTGACATTTAGAGTGAATTCTTTCTTGAGTGACTCACCGGGAGTTTTTTTAAACCTTGGTTTGGGAGACACTCCGTTTGGCTGGGCTCGAGACTCGGCCCCTTTGTGACGTCCCGGCTGGAGGTTTGGTTTGCGTCTGGTTCCCAGCTGCCTGGCTTCTCTCACTCAGAGAGAGAGTGTTACCCCTGTCCTCTTCTCTGTAAAACGGGAACAGCCATGTCCCTCCTTCCTGGTTCCCTGGCACCTACAGCAGGAGCAGGCCATCTGGCAGGTTCCACAATCTCTCCTTCCCCAAGTGGTCACTGTGGTGCTGATAGAGCTGACCTGAGCTGCAAGGACTTTGTGTTTCCAAGGGGTATGGGCTTCCAGGTGTGGAGGCTGCAGGATTCCCTACAGGCCGCTGTGATGTCACTACACGTGTGCGGGGCAGGGGAGAGGTGGGTGGGGATGGAGAGGGAGGCAGCGTTGTCGGGGGGGACTTTTGGTTCTAAGCCTCTCTTGTGTGCTTTGTTTCCCAGATGTTTGAGGCAGAAGCAGATGCGAAGAGGGAGATGTCCTCAGCTGAAGGCAAGGGGCCGGCTGCTGAGGCCTCCCCACCCAGCGAGGATGGCCAGGAACCTCCTCTGGAGCCAGACCAAGCCCTCAGCCAGGACCCATCTGTGGGGCAGACACCTGCTCCTGGTCCAGAGTCCCCATCCAGCGGAGACATACCCACCTGCACAGAACCCTCTCCGGGCCAGGAAATCTCACCAAGCAAGGACACCCCGCCAGCCCAGGACCCCACAACCCTCCATGACCTGACTGTTGGTCAGGAGCCTCCTCCCAGCCCGGACCCTCTGCTCAGCAAAGCTGCCCCTGCAATCCAGGAAGCCCCTGCCCAGGACCTTGCACCCCAAGACCCACCTCCCAGCCTTGCCCCACTAGTTGCTGAGACTCCTGCTGAGGAGACCCCTAGCACCAGCACTGCCACTGTCGCAGCTGCCACTGGGGACCCACCAGCAGCCCCTGGGACCCCGCCTGCCACCTCCAGGCCCGCCTTCGTGATCCCGGAGGTCCGGCTAGATAGCGCCTACAGCCAGGGGGCAGGGGCCGAAGGGGGCAGCTCAGATGAGGAGGAGGATGCAGAGGAGGTGGAAGATGGAGAGGAAGGCGAGGAGGGTGAGGAGGACGAGGAAGAGGACACCAGCGATGACAACTACGGGGAACGCAGCGGGACCAAGCGCAGCAGCATGATCGAGACGGGCCAGGGTGCCGAGGGTGGCCTCTCGCTGCGGGTGCAGAACTCGCTGCGGCGCCGGACGCACAGCGAGGGCAGTCTGCTGCAGGAGGCTCGCGGGGCTTGCTTCTCCTCTGACACCACCCTGCACTGCTCGGATGGTGAGGGCACCACGTCCTCCTGGGCCATCCCTTCACCCCGCACCCTCAAGAAGGAGCTGGGTCGCAATGGTGGTTCCATGCACCATCTGTCCCTCTTCTTCACCGGGCACAGGAAGGTAAGAAGGCTGGGATACAGGGACGCCAAGGGGCCCAGGATTGTGGGGTCTGTACCTTCCAACCCCTCACCAAGGAAGCTTCTTCCCATTGGATGGAGGAAAAAAACAAGGTTTAGAGGGACCAAGGGGGCAAAGCCTGGATTTAAACCCACCATTTTAGGATTCTAGATGGTGTGTTTTGCCTCTATCCCACTGCTGGTCCCCACAGAAAGCAGAACAGGTGTGACCTAGCCAAGGATACCACACATTTGGATTTTAAAATAGCTGAGGAAATTTTTTTTTTTAAGTTGCAGTTTAGCTCTGGTTCAGGCCAACCAGTCTAAAATCCCATCAGCCAATAGCAAGGAGAGTGGCAGGTGTTCCTTCTAAGCACTCTGTCCACTCATTTTCACAGCAGCCCATGCTATAGAGTTTTTCTTTGCCTTTTTTTTTAAAAAACAAATAAGGAAACTTAGGTACAGGGAGATTGCCTTACTCTGTCCAGCCTGGTTACAGTTTATAAATCTGAGCTGTGGAGTCGGCATCTGGTTCCAGAGCTAGAGCTCCTAGCCACTGCCATGCTGTGTGCCTGGGGCAGGTCTTTATAAATAGATGCCTGTTGATGGCCTTCCTGCTGGGTGCCAGGCCCTGTGCATCAGAGGCCATGGAATGTGTGAGGCTGATCCGAGCCTGCGCGCTATGTGGCTGGGGAGCAGCGGTGGGGGTCTGCAGCCCACCAGCCGCTTGGAGTGTGGGCTCCATCCCTTACTAAGCCCTGTGGTGTTGGGCGAGTTTCTCATCTTTCTTAGCTTCTTAGGTGCCTTTCCTGGGAAAGGGGACTGCAGAGGGGAGGGTTACCAGCACTCGTGTCCCTGGATGGTTGAGGACAAGTGGGAAGAGGCTGGTGCCCGTCAGTGTTAGGGATGCTGGCACAGGCCCTCTGGGGCAGAGTGGGTCCTGCTCTTACATCAGCAGGGTGGCCGGGGCAAGGTGTGTATTGGAACACCTGTTGTGAGGCCAGAGCTGATGAAGGTGTTGGGCCCAGCAGGTGCAGCTCCCTCTAGCAATCAGAAGTTCTGGGCCCAGGGGACAGCCCCCTACTCCAATGCTGCGCAGCCATGCGGCCTTGAAGGTTTGACAGTAGACAGGCTGAGGCAGGTGCTAGCCCCCTAAAGAGCAGGTATGGCAGAAGCCCAGCACTACTCCCACACCCACCCTTGCCACTGCTGCCATTCCTTGCTCCAGGCCTGGTGCTGGCATACTTCCTGCTGGGTGGGAACATGGCTGAGCAGCCTTTGTGGTGTCTTAGCCACCAAGTAGTGGGGCGGACATGGCATTTGGGAGGACACCTGCTCCTGAAAGGGGCTGTGAAATTTCAATGCCACCTCTGAGGCCATCATTTGAGGCAGGTGCTACAGAGGAGTCAGGAACCTTCTGCCAGGCAAGGCCTCAGCTTCACTGCCCTCTAGAAAGTGGCTGTGGCCAGGGCCCCACCCTACTTTGAGCCTCCAGGGCTCTCTCCCCACCCCAGGACTCCAACAGTTCTGTTCCCCTGCCTCGGCCCCTTGCTAGTCTACGTCTACACATATTCACCGTTGCACTGCTGTGTAGTTCCCCAGCTCTTGTTTCTGGGACAGATATTTCTGCCTCCTGGGAGAGTAGTGGGCCCCCTCCTGTCTCCGCTTCCTCCTTTGGGCCACCGAGCTTCCCACCGCCCTCCCTCCCCCATCCCCCCTGCTGCCTCTTGGCCTGCCACTTCCTTTCTCAGGCATGAGTGGCCAGCGAAGCTGGCAGGGACCTCAGAGGCCGCCTCTAGCTCTGTGGCGGCCGCCCTTCTGTGTGACTTCCCCTGACCTGGTCCAGAGTCCTTGTCATTCACACCTGCTCCCTCCAAGCTGTCAGCTTCACCAAGAAACCTTTTTTTTTTTTTAAACAAGGAAACCAGACTTTTTTTTAAAAAAGCTTATCTGTTTGAAAGGCAGAGCAACAAAGGAAGAGACCAGGAAAGGAGACTGCTTCATTCTCCCAATGTCCACATGAGCTGCAATCGAGCCAGGAGGCAGGAACTCCATCCAGGTGTCCCATGCGGGTGACAGGGGCCCAAATGCTGGACCTTCACTGCCACCTGTCAGTGGGCAGTAGCAGGAAGCTCAATTAGAAACACAGGCTGGGCACTTCATCCCAGACCCTCTGTTGTGTGATGTGGATGTTGCACATGGCAGCTTAACTCCTGCCCCACAACACCTGCTCCAAGATATACTCCTTTGTCAAGAGCAGAGGAAGCCTGGACAGGACAAATTCTTGGCCTTGTTGCCTCCCCCACATAGCAGTGGGCCCTGGGCAAGTGTCTTCCCACTGCCCCCCACACCCCGCCGCGCCTCAGCCACCTGGCTGGCGAAAAGGGTGTGGCCAGAGTACCTCCCTCCTAGGTTACCTGGAAAAGGAAGTGACCTGCCGTGGCTGGGGTGTTTGTGGCAGCGCCTGGCACACAGTGCTTCAGGCTGCTGAAGCAGAGGAACAGGGAGAGCAGGGGCCATCGTGGTGACAGCCCAGCTGCCAGCCTGCACGGTGTCACAAGGCGGGACCAGCGGTCCTGCAGCAGTGGGAGGAAGATTGTCTCTGGCCACTCAGCGAGCAGAGCTGGACATTGGCCATACTTGGTGCACACCCCCGCGGCTCTGCCCTACCCACCTCATGCTGCCAAGGAACCAGGGTGGGCGGTCAGCAGGGGCAGAGCTATGTATCCTGAGTGACTTGTCACAAGTCGGAGTGTTGGACACCAGACAGGCCTTAGAGTTGCTCTGCCCGGTCCCCTGAGCTCAACCCCAGGAAGCCCCCTAGGTCACCAGGAGTCATCCAGGCGGGGCTGGTCCTTGGTGCTGAGTTGGGTTGTCTCCTGGCTCCCCCTGCTGCCAGACCCCTGGAGGCTAGCGGGGGAATCCCAGGTCTGCATGGGGGTGGGGAGCCTGGGAGAGGCACTAAGAATGTGAGTGTGGGGGGGGGGGGCGGGCTGGGTAGTCAGGGAAACCCAGGAGGGCCCCGGCTGCTGTCATGGAATATTCCAGCCCAGTCTTTTCTGGCCATTCTCCAATAGTGAAGCCCTTCCCTGGCGGTGCTTTCTGCTTCCCCCACCTCCAGAAACTCTGACAGTTGGGGAATAGGAATGGTGGAGGAGGCAGTCGGGTCAGACAAGGGGACTCCCAAATGCCTTCCAGCCCCAATACCTTCAAGACCTTTAAGCATCAGGTTTTTTAAAAGCTAGAGTGGAGTTACTTCCATGTCTGCCCTTTTAAGGACAGCTGCTGCATGGCTGGTGGCCACTGTGGCCAGGTGAGGACTGGGACCCCACTCACACAAGGGCCCGGCTCTGGAGAGGGACCCAGAATTCTCTGCCACAAGCCAGCTGGGAGAATCCAGGCAGGGCCCCAGATGTGGAGTGGGGGAAGAGGGCAGGGGTTAGGTGAGATATGGCAAGTCCTCAGTGTCTGACTACAGAAACAGCTAGCACCTGCCGAGTGCCTTCAAATATGTAGAGCACAGCAGGGGCAGGGACACAGCCATGAGTGGCTTTAATTTCCAACTGAAACAGAGAGAGAGGGCATGTGGCTGAGCAGAGGGCAATTAGCTAACGAACGAGCCAGGATGCCAAGCCGCGCAGTTTAGAATCTGCACCCTCATCACTGTGGTAATTATAGTTGTAATGACGGTAAGATTCTAATCATAATTCTGAGAGGCCAGGAGTGCCGGGTCCCTGGAGAGGCGGTGCTGGCTGAGGCCACAGGCTCCAGGGCCTTCTGCCTAAAGAGGGGCGGGTGGCTGCTTCCGGGCTCCCCTCCATGGCCTTTCAGTGAGCCAGGGGCACCAAGTGAGAGGAGCAGTGGAAGGAGAATGTTCAGAGATGCCATGGGCAGGGAGAACCTTGAACACCTCTGGCTCCTAAGGCTGGGGTGACAAACTCCTAGCAGACCTGGCGTGTCCCTAGGGCTGCGAACCAGACTCAGTCATTCCCTCTCGGTCACTCATCATCCTGGTGCACAGGCGCCCCTGGCTACCAGAGGGGGGGATTCCTGCGGCCTGACTATTCTCCCAGGCTGCTTCAGCTCGGGCCAGGACCTGCTGAAGATGGTCTGCTCCCAACCTTAGAAGGAAGAGCCCGTTTTCCCAGCAGAACTTAGGCTGGGGCCGGTGGGCAGGGCGGGAGTGGCCCCCAGGCCCATTGTGTGGGGCCCATAAAGTGCGGAAGCCGAGGTTAGAATGGGAGGAAGCCGAGTGCCTGTAGGCACTTTCCCACGGGTGGGGGTTTTAAGCTGCTGCAGGCGCCTGGACAAAGGACACCACACTTTTACAGAGGACAGGGCTGGGCCACAGGGGCTGGGACTTTATCCTGATGAATCTTCTAGCAGGACACCGCTCACCCAACTTAGAAGGTGGCCATGGCCAGAATTTTGCTGTTGCTACAAAACCGGAAGCCGAGAGCCTGGGACACATCTCGCGTCACTGGAGCAGGCCTCGCCCAGGTGGTGTGTGCCTCCATGTGCACGTCCACATATGTGTGTTTATAACTTCGCTGTGGCAGCATTCTCAGGCGAGCGGCACTTTCCCCGCCCCCATCCTCCAATCTTTCTTTAGAAATGTCCACACTGTCCCTGTCCTTGTCTCTGAGGAGCAGTGTCCTCTGGTGGAGGAACACTGGCCTTGACTTCAGACCTGGAGTCCTGCTCTGTTGCTTCCTTGCTGGGCATCCTTGGCCACATGACTTAACGTCTCTGATCCTCTTCACATAATGGAGTTACTAGGACTGAGCACCTGGGTTATGCCCATTCCAGGGTGTGGCCTGTAGATGGATCCATGAAAGAAGGTACCATGCATCTGTCTATTTACCTCTATGTATGTCCTTTCATTCATCTATCCATCCTTGGGTGGGTGCCCCACTAGCTCCACTTGCTGTCCGCTGAGCGTGGGTGTCACGGTGAGTCAACCGTGCCAACCCTGGTAGCTTTCTGTGCTGTCTGAGGACACAGGATCTTCTACCATCTCTGCATATTTTCTGGGCTCCTGTGCTGGGGTAGCATTGCCAGGGCCCTGGGTCTGCCCTGGAGGACGACGTCTGGGCTCAGGCCGAGCCAGGGAGGCGGGCCAGCCTGCAGAATATGGCAGCAATTGGAGTGGTCTGGAGGAGAGACTGCTCTTCCAGAGGGTAGCCAGGCACTGACCACAGCCAGGGCAGGGGGCGGAGTGGAAGCTGTGGGCTGCTGTGGAGTTACAGCCCTCTGTATCAATAGTGTAGTGGTCTCATAATTTGTCTCTCCAAGTCTGCTTCCCCTGCGCAATCCAGGCATCTGGCCCATCAATGCATTTGACTTACTCTTACTGTTGGCCGACCAACAGAGACCTTGCCCATGGGGATCCACAGCCAAGTAGCAAAGGCAAATTTGGAACAAACCATTGTGGGTGTGGTGGGGACACAAGAGAGGTGAAGGGGCACACCTTTGTTCCAGGGGTCAAGGAGAGCTTTCCAGGGAAGAAGGCATTTGCACTGCTCACCCTAAGCCTAGGTATTACTTGAAGTTGGGTCCTTAGGAGCAAAGGGAGGAAGAGAGCCACAGAAAGCACCTAGAGGAGCAGTTCCCGTTGGCCCCTGAAGGCATTGTTAGGTTGGAAGGCGTGGAGGAAGTCTGCCGTGGGGCTGCAAGCTGGGTCAGGTTGAGCTGGGTCAGGTTGCAGGACTTAGAGACCCACTACAGGGAAAGCCCAGGGGCTGGGCTGGGCTGCAGAGAGCGCCTAGGGGCCGGCTGTCTGCAGAGAGCAGAGGGACTTGGAACACTTGTAAATGGAACTTTCTGGGATGGGCATCTGTCCTTGTGTTTAAGCTGCGGCTTTGGATGACTGCATCCCATGTTGGAGTGCTGGGTTCGAGTCCAAGCTTCCCGTTGATGTATACCCTGGGTGGCCGCAATGATGGCTTAAGGGTTCAAGTTCTCTGCCACCCATGGGGGCTCCCCGGATTGAGATTCCCAGATCCTGGGCATTTGGGGAGTAAAGCAATAGATGGGTGGCCTCTTTGTCATCTCCACCTGCTTAAGACAAGTAAACAAATAGATATTTTGAAACCTGGCCCTTTTTTTCCCCCAGACCTTCAGATGGCATGCACTGTCATTGCATGGAGTCTAGCTGTTGTCCACAGGGTACTGGGGATCCATGCAAAGTGTGAAGTATGAAGGCAGGAGAGGTGCTCTCCACCCATGGAAGGATGCACGTCCTGCCCTGAGCCCCAAGTGAATCATCTTAACTGCATTTTTAGAAGTTAAGGAATAGAGGCAGAGGGACAGTGACTGTCCAGACGTCCTGCCTGCTGCTGCCACTGCCGATGCATGACAGTGCTGTGCCACATGGCTTCTGCCCCACAGGCCAGGGTCCTAGATGGGTCTTGAGGAGGTCCCCTGAGGCTGGAGGCTGGTTCCCAGTGGTGGGTCTTCCTCCCTCACTTGTCCTTTCCAGGGTGGATTCTCTGAGCACCTGGCTGGCTGCAGGAGCAGTATGGCCCCTGTGCCTCTTGTGGTCGGGTTCCAGGCCCTCCCGCTCACTGCACATGTCTATCTTCTCTCTGCAGATGAGTGGGGATGACGACGAAGCCTCCAGGAAGAGAAAAAGCAAAAACCTGTACGTTGGACAGATGCATGGTGCCCTCTGCTGGTGATTGGGGAGGCTCCCAACACCCTCTTTCCCTGTCCGAGGGCTTCTCTCTTCTCCAGGGACACTGGCAGGGAGAAGGGCTGTGCAGCCCCAGACACTGGGACCGAGATTAGACAGTGGCCCCAGGGTGGGGTTGTTGGGCCCCTGAGCATTCTGAGAGATGCAAGTTGCTGGTTCAGTGCCTGGAAGCCACACTGCACCACAGGCAACTCGCCAGATTGCTCTGGCGCCCGCCCAGCTTTTGGGCCCGGCAAGGACTTGAGAAAGCACCCCCCCCACACACACACACTCCATTGACTATTCTAGAAGTTTTCCTTTCCCCTGGAGCTCTTGAGCTCTTGAGTGCAAACTGTTTTGCATATGGCCAGAAGGGGGCGCTGCTAGCCCAGCTACTACTAGCCCAGCCCAGCTGCTAGCCCTTCTGGTCCAGCTCAGGTCTTGTTATGCTTTTAGAGGTTTGTTGCAGGTGCTCAGGAGCAAGGTTTTGGGAGTACTCCTCAGGCCCTCTCATAGCCCCAGCCCCGAGGCCCTCCAGGGAGCGTCTAGAAGCCCGCAGTACCCACCAAAATACAGAGATTGAGTCAGTGCTTCTCAGATGTTCACTGGGATCCTCTTCCCACGAACTGGCACCCATATGGCATCCCGGCACATACAAGGTGAAGATTTAGCCACCAGGCTAGGGCGCTGGGCTCTGCCTGAAAGCTTTTTGATGTGAGCTTTTTCCTTGAGTCCTGGCAACAGCCCCAACAGATGGTGCCACTTGCTTCCCTGCTTGACAGCCAAGCAAGCTAAACAGAGAGGTTAGGGTGCCTGACAAAGGACACACAGCAAGGGAACTGCTGGAGCTGGAATTGAAACTAGCCTCTCCCTCCTCCTCCTCTTTGTCCTACTGGTACCACTTCCCTTATATAAGGTGTCCCTGGGGTGCTGGTGTTGTTTGAAGTGTCATTGGCTTCCGAATTACAAAAGCTACAAGCATACACAACGCATTTGAAGGGTTCATGATCTAAATTCTTTGGCACTTAGCCTTGTGATTCAATAATGAATTTTCGGTTTAAACTCAGTTTCCATTGGCATTTTCCACCTTTTGTCAAATGGAGACAAAAAGTAAAAACCGTATTTATTAAAATGCTTCATTCGATTTATTCTGATTCAAAAATCATCGAACCAAACATGTGTTCTAAATGAAGTAATTAAACTTTCGAGTGACGTTCTTTGCAACTGGATGGGATTTGGCTTTGGGAAATTATCCAAACTTAAAAACTCCTGACAGTTTGAAGACCTGTGGTAGATTGAGGATTCAGAGACAGTTATCCACTACCAGCAGAGTGTCCTCTAGGCGGTGTCCACTGCAGGGGGACAGTGACTGGAGTCTGGGGCATTTAACCCCTTCCTCGCTGGCAGCTTCCCTGCAGCTGCAATCTGCTGTCTGCAATGGGAGTGGCCTGGCTAAAAATGGTTCTTGGTTAAAAATAGCTGGTCCATTCCTCCGCCCCCCTCCGGTGGGCAGAGCCTCTGCTCCCTCCCAGCAATTTGCTGACTTTATTTTTCCCTCCCCCTTCCTCTTGTCCACCCCCCGCCATTGCCAGCTGCCATGGAAACCATGGAGGCTGGTGACAAATAACTGGGTCTGGCTAGGGGCCGGAGGCGGGGCCCAGAAGCCGTCCTGTGCAGACACATGCCCCTTTCACAGCTGCCTCTTGGTTCCCCCTCCTGGTCCCTCCCATTTCCTGGCTCCTCCCGTCTGAGTCCCGGCCCCAGCCAGCCAGCCTGCCTGGGAGTCCAGTCATCGGAGCAGGCTCCCAGCGTGCGTCTGCAAGACCGCAACTTACACCGCTAGCTACCCGCTCAGACAGCGGGCTGGGGAGCAGGAGCCAGAGGGGGTGCTCCCGACAAGCTGTCCTGGGGCCCAAAGCTGGGGGCCCTACAGAGATGCTGCGGGGCATGTACCTCACCCGCAACGGGAACTTGCAGAGGCGACACACCATGAAGGAGTAGGTGGCTGGTCCCTGCCCTTGGCCCCCTTCTCCACCCCCGCCCCGCCTGGGGTGCCAGGCTCACCAAGCGCTTTCTCTGCTTTTGCCCCCAGAGCCAAGGACATGAAGACCAAGCTGGGCATCTTCAGAAGGCGGAATGAGTCGCCTGGGGCCCAGCCAGCGGGCAAAGCAGACAAAATGATGAAGTCTTTCAAGTATGTCCTCACTGGCTCCCCGGGACCTTCCTGCTCTCCCCCCTCCTCCCCCCCGCCTGAAGAGCAGCAGGGCTGGGCACTTGGGCTACAAAGAAGGGGCTCCCCGCATGTGCTGGGTTCCACTTTGGAGAGTTGGAGGCTTGAGGGAGCATGCCCAGTCCCCAGGGTCCAGGGCACAGGTGGGGCTGGAGGTGGTGAGCACCCCATGAAGGATGTGGACTTCCCCCGGCCCGTGCTCCCCCATCCCCACCCCAGGCAGCTAACAAAAGGCTGTAAGTGCCCCCTGCTTCATGGAATCCCCTCACCCTCAGGCCCACCTCAGAGGAAGCCCTCAAGTGGAGCGAGTCCTTGGAGAAGCTGCTACTTCACAAATGTAAGTGGGGTGGCCTGGCTGGTTTTCTCTCTGGGTTCTGGGCTCGCTCTTTTTTCTTCCTGTCCGGATCTATAGAGTGGCCCAGCACTGGCTGCCTTGCCTCTTTGCTGCCCAGGCAGGTGTTGCTGCCCCTGGCCACATACCCTTGCTCTGGCCTTGCGGCTGGCTGCTGCTAGCCCCTTGCTGTCCGTGGGGGTGGCCTTGCTTGCTGGAGGCCATTTGGGACCTGTGTGTTCAGGCCCAGAATAGCAGTAAACATTTCCCCATACTGAGGGCATGCAGCCAACCCAGGGTGCCTATTGTCTGCCCTTTGCAGGACTCTTAAGAGACACCTGGGATACTGAGGCGCACACGGTCCTCTAATGAGGCCAGCACAGGGCCACGATAGTCTAACTGCTTCTCCACCTGTGCTCTTCCCCGGGGGCAGGGGCTAAGGGCAGGTGGGACTGGCCACACCTCTTACCCAGGGCTGGGCTTCTCCTCACAGATGGGTTAGCAGTTTTCCAAGCCTTCCTTCGCACGGAGTTCAGCGAGGAGAACCTGGAGTTCTGGCTGGCCTGCGAGGACTTCAAGAAGGTCAAGTCACAGTCCAAGATGGCAGCCAAAGCCAAGAAGATCTTTGCAGAATATATCGCCATCCAGGCGTGCAAAGAGGTAGGGCTCTAGGGGGGCCCCTTACCTCCAAGTCACCACTGACCAGTGGAGCCCCAGCCAAAGGGAGGTAGCCAGCGACTCAGAAGGGGAGAGGGTGGGCAAGAGGCAGAGGGACTCCCCGATGCTGGTCACTCGGGGTGGTGGTGGTGGTGGGAGGCGAGGGGGCACTATCAGGGGTAAGGCCCTTGCTATATTCCTTCGGGGCTAGGGGCAGTGACAACATACCTAATTGGTTTTGTGGTGTTCCGAGTCCCTGGTTGTAGCAGCAAATTGGGAAGCCTGGGTTTTCACAGCCCTGGGAGGTGTGTGGTCATTTCTGGCTCGCACAGACAGCCGAGGCCCAGTGCTTTGCACTAATCTCTTTAGGGTCCTGAAACCAGCAGCTGCACTGCTGGGCTGGGAAAGCCCTGGGCAGCCAGACCCCAGCTGGTTGTTTCCAGGCTCTGGGAAGTCTGCCACCTTGAGACAGGAAGGGGTGGAGCCGGGACTCTAACCTGCAGGTGGCACTAACTGGGGCGAGGTGGCAGGGCAAGGCCGGGAGGCGAGAGGCTGCACCAGCCCCCAGGACTGCAGTGCCTGAGTCACAGTCCTGACCCCATCCCCTCTGCCTGTGCAGGTCAACCTGGACTCTTACACACGGGAACACACGAAGGACAACCTGCAGAGTGTCACACGGGGCTGCTTCGACCTGGCCCAGAAGCGCATCTTTGGGCTCATGGAAAAGGACTCCTACCCTCGCTTCCTCCGCTCCGATCTTTACCTGGACCTCATAAACCAGAAGAAAATGAGTCCCCCACTTTAGGGACCACCGGGATGGAACGCAACCTACATACCAGGCAGGCTGAGCCCTGCACCCACCTGCCTTCCTTCCCCCTGCGACAGAGGGGACGAGGAAGCCCCCTGAGGCTGAGGCTGTCTCCTGAAGGACAGATGGACACTTGGTTGCAAGGCCTGGATCTAGGGAGACCCAGGCCGCTGGAAGAGTAGAGGGACTGGCCCAACTGGGTTCCCCACTGCCCTGGTACGAGGGGGTCCAGGGGCCCTGGCCAGGTTGGCCGGAAGCCCCAGGCTAAACCAGATCTGGAGCAGCTGCTCCCGGCTGCAGAGACTGTGGAGACTGCATTGACCAAGTTCCTCAGAGAGCTGGCTGAATGGGCAGGAGGCCGGGGCTCGGGTTTTGGGACCCACAGGGGATGGCCGGCGCTCGGCAGCCCAACTCCCTGCCTTGAGTTCTATTTATTTAAACAGTAGCTGGATGCTTGGCCTTGTCCTCCTGTGCTAGGAAGCCCTTGCCACATCAATTTTCCCCCTCATTTCCAAGTGCAATATTTTAACCAATGCCTTGTGAAAAGCCACCTGGCTTGCCAGGTGGCTGCCAGTTTCCAGTTTCAGGGCATTTGCTGGTATCCGGCACCAGTGGTGGCAGCTGGGCCTTCTAGACTGATGAGGCCTGGAGGGGCATCTGCACGGGCTGAGCTCCTGCTTGGGACACCTGGCACCCCTGGACAGTGGGGTATTGCTCAGCGGCTCTGGGCAAGCATGGCACCCTCGGGTCGCACAGTAACCAAGTACTGGAGCAAATAAAAGGCCTGTGTTACTTCTTGATCTCGACCCTTCCTGTATGTTCCTGGTCTGGAACCTTCTGGGGGGCAGGGGAAGAACAGCTACAGGTGAACTCCACAGATCAGCTGTTCCTCGCTGCTTATGTTCCCATCTGGCGCTAGGTGCAGCCGTGGGAACAGCTCTCTAGCTGCCTCTTCCACACGGGGCTCTGTGCCAAACTCAACCCACCTGTTGGTACTGGGGGTAGGGAGAGGCGCAATCCCCATTTCATAGATGAGCAGAATGAGGCACAGGTCATTTTCCAGGGTCACCTAATCAACAGGTGGCTGGGCTGGGTTCAGTGCCACAATGCGTATGCTCTGCCAACCATAGGATAGAGCCCAGCCTGGCCATGCCCCTGGCTATCCCAGCAGCCTTTGGCAGCTTTTTGTGTGCATCTCTGCCTGCTTTCCAAAGCCACTTGCAGGTGGTGCTGGGGTAATCTGTGGAGGTAGACAAGGGCAAAAATCTCAGGCAGACTTGCGGAGATTTGAACACAGAGATGTTGCTCATGCTGATGGGGGGGATAGGAGCTGGGACTTACAGGGACTCCAGTATTTCTGCCATTGTGATTTTGCTTCTCCTCTTGTCTAACGAAACAGGAGATGCAAATCTGGGAAAGGCCTGACTCCAGGGCACATTTCCAGGGGCTGAGGGAGGAGGGGACAAACTCAGACTCCTCCTCTACAAGAGGACAGAAGAGGGTCCAGAACCCAGGCCATGCAGATGCCAATCCGGCTCCAGATGCCCACACATCCAGCCTTCCAGGGCCTGGTATGGAGACCAATTCTGTCAGGCTGACTTAGAGCTGTGGTTGGAGGCTGTGCAGGAAGGTCTGGGCACTGTCTGTGCGCATCTTATTCCCTACCAGGGTCCTGGGCTCAGGTCCACCTGCTGGGCCCTTGGAAATGTGGAAGACATGGATGCCCTGCTGCTCTTCCCCTGCCCATACCCCCGAGTTGGGTACCTGCCTGCTCCTCTGCGCAGTGACAGGATCACAAAGAGTGGTCTCTAGAGGCTGACAGGAGAGCCAGGGGCTGAGCGTTCTGTGTTGTAGGAGCTTGACAGTCCTTGCTCCTGCTCCCAGAGCAGACCCTGGGGACTGTCCTCCCTGTCTCCTCGCTTGAGAGCCCTGCTTCAGAAGCACTTGCTGCATGCCCACCTGCCCCGCAGACAGCTCTCATCCCTGCTTGCTGACTCCCTCCATGGTTAGCCCATACCAAGCAGTGGCAGTCAGGTGACTCCTTCGCCTGTCAGGGTACTGCAGACCTGCTTTGAGTCTTGCCTGGGCCACTAGCTTACTCTGCCACATTGGCACATCACTGCCCCTCTCTGAGTCTGCAAAACCGGGGACAACATCCTTAACAAGAGTTCACGATGAGCAGACCCCCGCATGAGCCCGTCTGCAGAAGGGGCCTCCATACATTTTTCTTGGCAGCTTCTCCCCTAGCATGGGAGTGAGAGCTCCTGCTGGAGGGGTTCTGGGATTTCTTCTCAGGGCCCCAGGGCCTGTGCCAGGCCAGCAAGCCCAAGGCCTGGTGGGTATTGTGAGCCTCAAAGTGACTGTTCCACTGGGCCCTGGAGCTTGACAGACATCCCCAAGGGCAGAAAGACAGGGAGTGGAGTTGTCCTCTTCATCTAGAGCAAGGCACCTTTGGCCCTGAGACTTGAGGACTCGTCAGCACAGGAGACTGAGGTCCCGAGAGGACCGCGATGTCATGTGCTGTCACCCTGCGAGGTGGCCAGAGGCAGAGCCGGCTTGGAATCCCGGGACTTCCCAGGCCCATGCCTATTCTGTGGCATCTTCTGCCTGGGGAAACCGCTAGGCCTACAGGGAGAGTCATCATTCATTCTCTCTAGCTTCCAAGGATTCAGCCTTGGGCCAGGCCCTCCACCTTCAGGCCCCCCAAGTTGCCATGGAAACCAAAGTCCAGGAGTGCAAAGTCAGGCAGATGGAATTCCCATTTTGGAAAGCCTCACTGTGTGGTTTCCATTACTCACAGCCTGGTGCCCCTGGTCTTGGAGCAGCACTGGTTGGGCAGAGTGGCTGCCGGGTCCAGCCTTGGAATAGGCACTAGGGTCCTTCTTCCCAGCCTCCCCAGTGACTGTGGCACATCCCCCAGGCTCCACTCTGAGCTGCCAGGGCTGTCCTCCATTCTCTTCCACTTGAAGCAAGGAGCAGGCTGCTTGGTCTCTGGCATGCAAATCCCAACTAGTTAACCTGGGTCCGTGGGGCTGAGAAGGCCAAGGAGGTCCCTGTCCCAAGGATGGGAAGGCAGGCAGAGGCTGGGCATGCAACATGGTATGCAGAGGTGAGAGGCTCACCCCCCAGGCTTTGAAGTCAGGCTCTGGGGCTCAGTCCTTGTTTAAATCACATCTCCTGCTCTCCTTGAATGTTGCATACAGGTACCTGCCCCGAGTAACCATGACAAAGAGACCATGTGTCTGGCAAGATTAGTTCAGTGCCTGGTATATGGTGACTGTTGCTAACAGTAGTCTAACGTGGGGTCGCAGGGTGAGGGGCTCAGGCAGTGTGGATGGGAGCCTTAGTCTTAAGACTCAATTCTCATTTTTCTAGTCACCTATTCCATGGAGTGAAATCAGAAAGGGCCTGTTCTGGCTTGGCTGCCCAGGCTTGGCATGGCCGGAGCAGTGGTCAGGTGGGCGAGGATGGAAAAGGGTACTTGGGTACCAGTGGGAGGGGATTAGGCACCACTATTGTAGCTTGGCACCTGGTGAGGGTTCTGGGCCCTTCCTGCGGTGTACCAGCTGTCCCCATGGCCTGGCTGAGCATGGCCCTGGTTTCTTAGTGTCTCCAGCCTGAAAAAGGACCCTCTGGCTGCCAATGTTCCAGCCACTATACAGGTTTCTGCTTGTATTCCTTCCAGGATAGAGATCTCATTCTCCTCCCAGGAGTGTAGGGAGCTCTCTGGGATGCTAAAGCTCTCACTGTCTGAAGTTAGGGTCCTGGTGTGGGGGTGGGGTTAGAGAATAGAGGTAGGTCAACAGGGACCTTGGCAGGTGTCCCACTGAGGACACCGCCTGCCATGGCCCTGTATCTCCACCCCTGTCCCCCTGCTCCATTCACCTTCACAAATACCTACAAGACCTCCCACCCCTGCCTCGCTGTCCTTACACCTGCTGGACCCTTTTTCTGTATTTCCATCCTGGGTCCTTCCATGCTGTCCTTCTCTGCTCCTCCAAGTTTTGGGGTGACACCCCGCCTCTCCCTAGGAATCTTTAGGCATGGGGACCCTGATGTGCTGTTGTTTCTCTTACAGTTGGTGACATCTGCGGGACATGTGGCGCTGTGGTCCCCCTCCCTGGCTGGGATAGGCAGACCGGAGGGGGAGGAGGCACTCTGGGCCACTGCCACTTGGTGCGGCTTCCTGGGGTAGGGAATGCAGGCATGGCAGGGGGATGTTGAGGGTCTTCGGGGGTCAGAGGAACATGAGGGCATGGCGAGGGTTGGGGGAAGGAAGCGGTGTATGCCTCAAGCTTTCCCATCTTCCTCACCTTCTCCCTCCACAGCCCAGCAGGAGAAATAGGGCTCATTTTCAACTCACAGCTGATTGAGCCAGCCTTGGGACCTCGGCCTGCACTCCCAGGCAGCCACAGCCCAGCCTCTCTGAAACCATCCACAGCGAGTATTTTGAATGCTAAGAAAGGTGGGAGAAAGAGGCTGAAGGAACAAGCTGACCCAATCCAGAGCAGAGTGCTGTGGCCAGTTTTGACCGAGCCAGCCTTCATTGTCTGGGCTGTAGGATGAGAGTAATTAGCCCATTTGTGGGTGGCGCCATCATGATTCTTGTGACTGTCACCCCCTCCTTTTGGCACAGCACTGAGGTTGGTGGCTGCCCCCTGGGGCCACCCAGGAGGAGAGGTCAGGCCCTGCCCCAAGCAACTGCACTGGATGAAGCCACCCCTGTCTGCCCTCCAGAACAGGTGCAGCTGGTAGAGCGGGGAGGGCTGGGCCCTGGGCCAAGATGTCTCTGCATGTGTGTTGTGTGTGTACATGTGTACACATGTGCATGTGTGTGTGTGAGGACTGCGATGCTTGATCTGTTTACCACTTGCCCTGACTCACAGGGCTCCCGATGCTGGGACACTGTAGTTCTTCATCTCTCTGCCAGGCTGGAGCCCAGCTTCCGGGCTATTGCCTTTGGGGTAAAGTCCACACCTTCCCTGCCTGCAAGCACGCTGAGTCCACAGGAGCTGGGGCAGCCCT